GCTAAGAACACGGTTATGAGGATGACCTAGACGATTGTGCCAAGTGGAAGCCGAGGCACGAGCGGAAATAAACGCTGACGGAGACGAACTAGGTAATGAAAGTGTGTATAGTCCCCCCGAACTATTGCCCCGAAGAAGTATTTCCTTGGTATTGATATCTTTTACAACAAAAAATGAGGGGTGAAACTCAAAAAAGACTTTATTATCGGATGCAAACTTCTGAACAGATAATAAAGAATTAGACAAACGCGGAACGTGAAGTATATCAGACAATGTAAATGATCTAGAAGGGGTATTAAAAGAGGCATGGCCAACATGACTAATAGATAAACCCATACCGTCACCGACACGTAAAGTGTCATTACCAGTGTACTTCTCCGATGTAGAAAGAGCAGCGACGTTCGGAGTTGCATGATTTGTGGCTCCAGTGTCCGGAACCCAAGTATGAGAATTTGACGAGGTTTTAGCAACTAAACCATTCTGAAACACCAAATTAGCCTAAGAACCCGGAGCCCCTGAATATCGCCGAAAACAGTTGACTCCCGTGTGACCGAAACTTTTGCAGATTTGACACGAATCATTATAGCGCCAAAAACAATTGGCTCCCGTGTGTCCAAAACGTTTACAAATTTGACACGGATCATCATAGCGCCAAAAACAATTGACTCCTGTGTGGCCGAAACCTTTACAGATTTGACACGGATCATCGAAGCCACGTTGCTGACCTCCACGGTAATTAAGGTTGCCATCGCAGCGCTGCATCTTCTTAATTTTATGAATCACAAAACCCTAGCTAACTGATACCAGATGAGAACTGATTGTATTATATTTTCTGAACTTGATTACAATGAGATCAGATGATGTGAATATATAGAATAGAGAGTCACAGTGTGACAATGATAAGAAGTAGAGAGTCACAGTGTGACAAGGATAAGAAGTTCTAAACAGACTCATATACATAGAGTCCTAATACAAATAAGAACAACCACGTAACTCTAGTAAAAAGTGAATATTGATCTTAACTGCCCATGCCCATCAAGATCCATCAATGATTGAGGGTTTTAATAAAAGACTACGGGATTGATTTTATAATTATTGCAAACTTTCAAGTTTGCAATATTTATAAAACTAACTCCGCAATTTTTCCTTATTATTTAGCAACCCTCAACCATTGAATTGATTTACTCAGATGGTTGGATTAGATAAGTGTTCACTTTTTACTTGGGAGTCCGTTTCGCTATATAGAGTCCAGTTCATGTGAGAACCACTATTTGGGTGTGAACCTGTGAACTCCTATGCACCGTTGAGATGTGAGATTAGACGGTCAAGATCTGAAGAATGGTGCAATGGTGAATTTTGTGCTGTTGTGCAGTGGTGCAAGTGATATATATTTATTAGGTAGTCAAAATCTATACTATATATAAAAACAAAATCCTGAAATTTCAACTTCCCGCCCAATTCCTAAAAAATCTCTCTTCCCAATAAAATATATTGTTTTCTACTTTCCCATTCGTACAATAATTCTGGGTAAAAATTCTATTCTAAAATTATAAAATAGTGTAATACAATTTCCACTGCACATCTAATCTATACTATATATAAAAACAAAATCCAGAAATTTTAAGTTCCCGCCCAATTCGTACAAAATCTCTCTTCCCAATAAAATATATTGATTTCTACTTTCCCATTCGTACAATAATTCTGGGTAAAAATTCTATTCTAAAATTATAAAATAGTGTAATACAATTCCCTCTGCACATCTAATCTATCTACTATACTAATAAGAGCCCAAGAGAGTTAGGCCTATAATGGGTAGAAAAAATGGCGGTCAAGTTTTTTATCAAATGAATGGCTCAGATTGATCAGATTTTAATTTTTTCTTAAGATTTACTAATTTATCCTTAATGAATATGATTATCTGTTTACTTTTCCGTTAAATATTATCTTTTCCGTTAATTTCTGTTAGTTCACCGTTAACTTATTCATTGATTTCAATAAGAAAGGTCTTAAGTTCGAAGTTCGAACCACATCCCAATCAAAGTTGGCATATTTAGTACTCTATTTTACTTTTATTAAATTAAATAATAATTTAGTAGTTACAACAAAAAATAATACATATGCATTTCGATCTTTAATATAGAATTATGTATCTACAATGTTTTTATTCAAAAAAATTATTCATTATTATTAGGACTCTATTATTATTAGTATTCGTTACCTATTGTTACTAGTATTAGTCTTGTATTAGGTTTGCTATTCGCTACTATGTATATTCCTGTACAGACTTATTATCTGATTCATTCAGAAATATTATATCCTCATCTGGTATCAGCAGGTTTTTTTTCTCTCTCTCTATGGCGCACCTCGGTTCTGATGGCGGTTCTGTTGGAAGTTCTGAACGGACTGTTTCTGAGGCTGCGCTTGTGGCACCCCTACAGTCCGGGGTGTCGTTTTCTTCGGCTCATCACTTCGTTTCCATCAAATTGACATCCCGTAATTTTTTGTTTTGGCGCACTCAGCTTCTTCCGTTCCTGGATGGCCAAGGATTATTGGGTTTTGTCGATGGAACGTCTGTGTGTCCCCCGTTTACTACGATTACGGTACCTTTTGCCGAGGAGGCTGCTGCTGCCGTGTCTTCGTCGGCCGTATCGTCCGCCGCTCGGAGTGCATGGCTTCGTCAAGATAAGGCCGTGCTCTCCTTGTTGATCTCGTCTTTGTCCGACGAGATGATGCATCTTGCCATCGGTAAAACCTCCTCTCGGCATTTGTGGGTGGCGATCGAACAGGTTCTTGGTTCGACGACTCGGGCCCGTGCTCTTCGGTTGGTGGGCGAGCTGCAAGGATTGCGGCAGGGGGATGCTTCGATCCCGGATTATCTTGGGCGTGCTCAGGTGCTTATTGAGGATTTGGCACTTGCTGGCCGTCCGGTGACACTAGAAGATCAGAATATGTATATATTCCGGGGCTTGCGGTCCGAATATCGCCCTTTGGTGGCGTCGCTGACGAGGGGTGCTCCGGTGTCTTTACCCGAGTTATCCAATTTTCTTGTTTCGCAGGCCTTTATATGTGCTGATGATGGTGGTGACGTTGCTGCTGCTCCGGTCGCCATGTCGGCTCAGCGAGGTGGAGGTCGCTCGGGCGGGCAGCAGCGTGGCGGCGGCAATCGAGGCCGAGGTCGTGGCAAGGGCCGAGGCCGCGGTCGAGGTGGCGCCGGGGCTGTCCAGTGCCAGATCTGCTCCGGCGAAGGCCACTCGGCCGCTTCGTGCTATCGTCGTTATGATGGCGCTCCGGGGCCGCGGGCACATGTTGCATATTCTGTTGATGATTCGGCTTCGGTTAATCCTCAGCAGTGGTTTCCTGACACTGGTGCGTCGAATCATGCCACTCCGGATCCGTCTTTAATGTCCTCGGCGGTTCCTTATAGTGGTCCGGATCATCTTCGTGTTGGTGACGGTAAGTGTTTACCTATTGTTAGTACTAGTTCATCTTCGTTAGCCGCATCTAAAACACTATTTCGGTTGTCTGTGCAACGGTTTGCTCGTGATAATAATGTCTTTTTTGAGTTTCACCCTGATTGTTTCTTTGTGAAGGATCGTTCAACCAGGGAAGTTCTATATAAAGGGCCGGCTTCGGGGGGTCTCTATTCTTGGCCTGTCTCTCGTTCAAGTCCCGCTGCGTTTGTGGCCTCTCGAGTCTCCTCTGACGTGTGGCATAGCCGGTTGGGTCATCCTCACCCGCGTGTCTTGCGGCAGATTTTAAATTCATGTTCTATTCAGTCTAGTTTTAGTGATACTTCGGAATTGTGTCGTGCTTGTATGCTTGGGAAATCCTCACGGTTTCCCTTGCCTCGTGTCAATACTACTACGTCTCATGTTTTAGAACTTATATATACTGATATTTGGGGCCCAGCGCCTTTTCTTTCCGTCAATGGCTTTCGTTATTTTGTTTTGTTTGTTGATGACTATACGCGCTATGTATGGTTTTATCCTATGCGTTTGAAAACTGATGTGTATGCTATCTTCGAGCAGTTTCGGTCACTAGTTGAGCGTTCATATGGTCGTAAGATTGTCTCTATTCAATCTGATTTAGGGGGAGAGTATAAACGGTTGCACCGTGCTTTTGTCTCTTTGGGTATTAATCATAGGCAGTCTTGTGCCTATACCCATGAGCAGAATGGTAGAGTTGAGCGTCGGCATCGTCACGTTGTGGAAACGGGTTTGGCTCTCTTGGCCCAGGCTTCGGTTCCACAACGATATTGGGATTATGCCTTTGAGACTGTGGTCTATCTCATCAATAAGATGCCGACTCGGGTTTTGGATAATGATAGTCCTCATTCTCGGTAGCATCGTTCTAGTCCTTCTTACTCTTTCTTGCGTGTGTTTGGCTGTCTCTGTTATCCTCTGTTACGCCCGTATAATCGTAACAAGTTGCAGTATCGGTCTTCTTCGTGTGTGTTTCTTGGTTATCCGTCTTCGTTCCGTGGCTATCGTTGTTTTGATCCTGCTACTAACAAGGTATTCATTTGCCGTCATGTGCGGTTTGATGAAACCATATTTCCATTTGCTTCTTCTGTCCCCTCTCAGGTCTCTAGCTCTCGCCCGATTGAGCCGTGGGGTGTTGGCGCCGTTCAGGTTGGCGCGAGCTCCGGTGTTTGTTCTGCTGGGCCGGATCCTCGTCCGGAGATGGACACGGATTCCGGGGCTGCTGGTGCTGCTTCTGATTCCCGCACTGAGACTGCCGTGGCTCCAGATGTGGCAGTCTCGGGTGCTCCTAAGGCGACCAAGCGAGGTCGGCGCGCGGTAAAACCGGTTCCACCTCGGTCTCATGTTATGGCGACTCGTTCTTTGGGGCCGACGCAGCATGTGGCTCTTATGACTGTTTCTGAGCCGACCTGTTATTCTCAAGCAGTTCGGTATCCGGAATGGCGTGAGGCCATGGATCTTGTGTTTAATGCCTTGCTCTAGAATCACACTTGGCGTCTGGTTAGTCGCACACCTGGTATGAATGTTGTAGGCTGCAAATGGGTGTTCAGGATGAAGCACAAGGCTGATGGCACGATTGAGCGGCACAAGGCTCGGTTGGTGGCTAAGGGGTTCAATCAAGTCGCAGGACAGGACTTTTTTGAGACCTTCAGTCCTGTTGTAAAACCCACAACCGTGGGGCTTCTTCTCTCCTTGGCTGTCTCTCGCGGTTGGGTAATTCAGCAGTTGGATGTTCACAACGCCTTTCTGAATGGTAATCTTGCAGAGACAGTCTACATGCAACAGCCGCCTGGCTATGAGGACTCGTCACGACCGGATGATGTATGCTTATTACAGAGGTCACTCTATGGTCTTAAGCAGGCTCCTCGCGTATGGTTTAACAGGTTACATGCTTTCTTGGTGTCGGTTGGTTTTTCACCTTCAAAGACTGATGTCTCTTTATTCATATACACTCGTGACTCTGTATCTTTATATGTGCTTGTTTATGTGGATGATATCCTTGTTATGGGATCTGATGCTTCGCGTGTTACTCGGCTTCTGACTGACTTAGCCTCGGAGTTCAAGATTCGTGACATGGGTGCTCCGTCTTTTTTTCTGGGCATTGAGACGGTATCTCGTGGTGATGGTTTGTTTCTTTCTCAGCAGCGATACATGCGAGATATCTTGAGCCGTGCAGGTATGGTGGACTGCAAGCCGTTGGCTACTCCGGTGCCTGTGACTCGACCCGTTTCTGAATCTGTGGTCCCTTATGGTGATCCCACGCAGTATCGCAGTCTTGCTGGGGCTCTGCAGTATCTTACTGTCACTCGCCTGGATTTATCTTTTGCTGTGAATCGGGTTTGTCAGCATATGCACTCCCCGACCACTGAGCATTGGGCAATGCTCAAACGTGTTCTGCGGTACGTTAAAGGCACTTTGCATTTTGGTCTGTTTATTCGCCCATCCTCCTCTGTTGCAGTGCATGCTTTTTCGGATTCGGACTGGGCTGGGGACCCCGCTGACAGAAAGTCTACTAGCGGCTTTGCGGTTTTTCTTGGTGACAATCTGATCTCTTGGTCTTGCCGGAAGCAACGTACGGTTGCTCGTTCGTCTACAGAGGCCGAGTACAAGGCACTAGCTGACGTGTCTGCTGAGGTCACCTGGTTGGTTTCTCTATTGCATGAACTTCGGTTGCCGTTGGCAGCTCCTCCCACTCTCTGGTGTGATAATCTGGGTGCAACTTATCTCTGTTCCAACCCGGTGTTCCATGCTCGTACGAAACATGTGGAAATTGACTATCACTTTGTTCGTGACAAAGTGGCAAAGAAAGAGTTGCAGGTTAGCTTCATTTCTACTAAGGATCAACTGGCTGACGTGTTCACTAAAGCTCTCCCTGGTCCGCGTTTCCCTACTCTGTGTGGCAAGCTCAATGTTGTAGCTAGTCCACTTTGTGCTTGAGGGGGAGTATTAGGACTCTGTTATTATTAGTATTCGTTACCTATTGTTACTAGTATTAGTCTTGTATTAGGTTTGCTATTCGCTACTATATATATTCCTGTACAGACTTATTATCTGATTCATTCAGAAATATTATATCCTCATCATTATCAATAAATTAAATAAGAGAAATAATTTCATTAGTTATATTGTCTTTATTTTTCTCCAATATAAAAATTCTTTACATTCAAATTCAGCAATTGATTATATTCGCTACATTGTCCCTACAATGTCTTTATTAAAAAAATATATTCATTATCAATAAATTAATTAAGAGAAATAATTTTATTATATTATATTGTATTTATTTTTCTCCAATGTAAAAATTCTTTACATTCAAATTCATCAATTGATTATATTCACTACATTGTCTATTATCTTTTTTGTGCACTATTTAATGTAATTAAATATCAAAGTTATAATACAAAATAATGTTATATATTTATTTACCAAGTATTTTATTAATACCATGAAAAACAAAATCTTGAAATTTTAACTTCCCGCCCAATTCCTAAAACTCTCTCTTCCCAATAAAATATATTGTTTTCTACTTTCCCATTCGTACAATAATTCTGGGTAAAAATTCTATTCTAAAATTATAAAATAGTGTAATACAATTCCCTCTGCACATCTAATCTATACTATATATAAAAACAAAATCCTGAAATTTTAACTTCCCACCCAATTCCTAAAAAATCTCTCTTCCCAATAAAATATATTGTTTTCTACTTTCCCATTCGTACAATAATTTTGGGTAAAAATTCTATTCTAAAATTATAAAATAGTGTAATACAATTCCCTCTGCACATCTAATCTATCTATACTATATATAAAAACAAAATTCTGAAATTTTAACTTCCCGCCCAATTCCTACAAAATCTCTCTTCCCAATAAAATATATTGATTTCTAAAAAAATGCTTTATTAAATAGTTTCTAAGAAAAAACTATGAGAACCTTATGTTTTATTAATGAATTTTTAAATTTTGTAATTAAAAAATTGTCCCGTGCTTTATTTAATAATCTCTCTTTATAATTGGTCAAATTATTTAATTATGATAAATTATAGAATAATTAATGATGTTAATAGAAATCTTAGAAGAATATTAGAATTGAAGAATATTTAATTATTGTTATATTATTATTGTGACTCACGGAATACAATACAAGAATATTTAATTATGGTTATATTATTATTGTGTGGCTCACGACCATTATATACTAACAAAACTTGAAAAGAAACTAATAATAATAATATAAGTGGTAAAAATAATATCTAAAAGTAATTAAGTGTTAATAATATATACTATATATAAAAACAAAATCCTGAACTTTTAACTTCCCGCCCAATTTCTAAAAAATCTCTCTTCTAATAAAATATATTGATTTCAACTTTCCCATTAATTATGGGTTAAAATTCTATTCTAATATTATAAAATAGTGTAATACAATTCCTATTGTAATCTATACTATACATAAAAACAAAATCCTGAACTTTTAAATTCTGCCCAATTCCAAAAAAATCTTTCTTCCCAATAAAATATATTGATTTATACTTTTCCATTCGTACAATAATTCTGGGTTAAAATTCTATTCTAAAATTATAAAATAGTGTAATACAATTCCTATTGTAATCTATACTATATTTAAAAACAAAATCCTAAACTTTTAACTTTCCGTCCAATTCCTAAAAAATCTCTCTTCCCAATAAAATATACTTATTTCTACTTTCTCATTCGTACAATAAGAATATTAATGTAAGAATTATAACATAGAATAAATCGTAATAATTAATAACTATTGTCTAGGATTAAATTTGAAATTGTCATGAAAGATAAGCGACCTCTGGTGATATTAACTTTTAAATAATTATATATCAATTTTAATATTCTTAAGATATTACAACAATTCCATTCCGTACATCGCACGGGTGAAAATATTAGTTATAAACAATAATACTTAGGTTTGCGTAATATTGTAAAATAGTGTAATATAATTCCTAATACAATATATTGCTTAATTTCCTACTTTCATATTAGTACTACAATTCTACATTAAAATTCTTATTCGTAATACAATACACCAATATTAAAATTCCTATTCCTATTCCTATTCCTATTCCTATTCAACAATATTATTCTATCACTACTCTCTTGGCCTGTGTAACGGGACGCGGCTCATCATCACAACATTGGTAGATCACATTGTCGAAGCAAGAATAGTTAATGGGACACATGAAGGAACCAAAGTTCTTATCCCCCGAATGTCTCTCACTCCTTCTAATACGAGATTGTCCTTCAAGTCCCAGCGTAAACAATTTCCAAACAAAAGTCAAGGCCAAACACTAACTCACGTTGGGTTATTGCTAAAAAAAATTGGTCTTTAATCAATGACAATTGTACATGGCTTTCTCCCGAGTCACCCATCATGATGGCCTTAAGGTGTTAGCTCTAGACGAGGATGGACAATATTGTGTTGTGACTACCAATGTCGTCTACAAAGAATTTTTCAATAATGTATAAATACAATCAATGATATTATGTTTTTTTTTTTTTTTCAAAATGACAAAATTGCTATATATCTAGAAAAAAAAATCCTCTATACAAATGAATTAGGATAGCAATTTATTATTATAACTAAGTTTCTAGAGAACGAGCACATTTGCCCAATTTATAAAAATCCTAAACAATGATATATAAAATCTCTAAAGTTCCAGCACTGCAGCATACATCTACACATTAACTATTAATTCAACAATTATTTGGTTGAACTCAAGCAATGATAACATCACATAACATAATTAATCCAAACCATCTTTTCAATTGCACTATATAATATTTGATGTTATAATTTATATAATTATATATATAATCTTATACTTGTCATAATTCGATCATATATTCGGGTTGTATAATCTGGACCCCCGGGTTCATATAATCCATCAATATATCGTTCCAAATATTCTTAAAATATTATAGTAAATTCATTCCGTGCATCGCACGGGTGAAAATACTAGTTATTATAAACCACAAAATAGAGGAAGATCAACGGTGGCGGGGATTATAATGATGCACTTCAAAATCAGTAAAAAATATAGTTACAAATAGATAATATATAATGATGCACTTCAAAATCTGTAAAAAAAAAAAAAAAAACAAACAAACAAAAATAGTATAATATAATGAATATGTTATTTGTACTTTTGCTTAACTCAAGAAATAACATTGCATATCTGTAAGTTTTATTTACTTATTTATTCTTTGATTAAGGAACACAACTTCCCTCTTTAAGATGCATAGATTTAAAACTTAAAAGTACATTATTTTGAATTTTGATTGCCTTATAACATTAAAAAGTTAAGAATTATTAGTTCCAAGACGTCGCTGCATAACATTAAACCTTAAGAAGCACAACTTTACTCTTTAAGGTGCATTACTTTGAATTTTGATTGCGTTATATTAAAAAATTAAGAATTACAACTTCGTAGTCGTAGGTGTATAACTTTAAACCTTAATTAAGGAGCTCAACTTTACTCTTTAAGGTGCATGGATTTAAAGTTTAAGGTGCATTACTTTGAATCTTGATTGCCTTACATTGAAAAGTTAAGAATTACTACTTCCAAGCCGTATGAGCATAACTTTAAACCTTAAAGTGCACAACTTTCCTCTTCAACCCGTAAGGTGCACAAATTTACAACTCAAGTGCATAAATTTCAACACAAAGGTGCATAGAGTTCAAAACTAGCGTACATTGCTCTGCACTTTAAGGTGCACAAATTTACAACTTAAGGTGGATAGATTTGAAAAGTAAAGTGCATAAACTTAAAGTTGAGTACAAGCATGGAAGACTAGAAATATCAAATAGAACAGAATGAATTATGCATACAAACACAAAAAAAAAAAAAAAAAAAAAAAAAAAAAAAAGCAATTAACTGACTCCAGATGCTACTAGTACTACGCCATAAAAAATGATTGATCACAATAACACAAGCACAAAAACATCTAGAAATTAGTAAAATCATAAACAACAAAAATACATAGAAACTATGATCATGCAATCATTTACTTAACTATAATACGGTATTTTGATGATTAGGTGAAATTTACCTTATTTAGTTGACGCCAATTGCTACGGTTGGGATACTTTTTCTTCAGAAGCCATTAATCCTCTGTATTACTTTGCCTCGAAGGTATTAACGTTGTTCTTGCTTGTGAGTGATCGGAGATGGAGAAGATACAAAGACATCAACATGTAATGGAGAAGATCACTTTGCCTAATGTATTTACCTACTTCTCGCATCTGAGTGGTCACAGATGGTTCGAAGACACAGATAGATCATGCAAAAATGGAGACTGAGTGTGAGAAGACGACGTAGTGGAGAAGATTACTTATTTTTTTTTGAATTTTTTTTTTCATTTTCACCCCTCAGTGCGCGAAATACCTTTGAATCAACTGCCCCTTCAAATTCACAATCAACTGTTGAGATTTGTTGATGACCATTGGATAAACGGAAGGGATTAAACCCCATGTTTCACCTGGGACATATAACCACACTTGATCTGTTATATATATATATATATATATATATATATATATATATGTTGTGTGTGTGTGTGTGTGTGTGTGTGTGTGTGTGTGTGTGTGTGTGTGTGTGTGTGTGTGTGTGTGTGGAAAAAATATCATAAAATGACATTTAAATGGCTATTTTGTGGTATATTTATTAGAAGGGTCCACTTCCAATTTGGGTCGGGTCAAAGTGGATTCGGGTTCTTCATAGTGAGACGAAGAGATTGATATATTGTACAGTCAAAACTCATAATGGGTGAATGAGAAATTGATTCTCAAAGTAGACCCATTTGAGTTGGAAAAAATGAAGGGAAAAGGCTTTAAAGTAGCATATGTCCCACATTGGTTTGGGAAGTGGGTTTGCACCACTATTTATACAAAAGCCTTTCTAAAGCTT